GCGCGCTCTTGCGGATTCGTAGGAAACCCAACACTTTTTAAACATTTCTGTCAAACGGGCTTTTGCGAGCAACTTTTTCGAACTTCTGCGACAACGGTTGCGCACCTGCCAGGGCCATCATCCCTGTCAAATAATACCATGCGGGACACATTCGTTTTTTCTTCGCGCGCGCACGCCGAAATCTCCAAAAACCATTGGGCTTCTTAAGAATTTTAGCACCGCGCATCATAAAATCACACGAATCGCACCGTAGGTCCTCGAAAAACACGCGGAAAAAGACGGTGGGTGGGCGTGCAAGCGCCGTTCCCGCCCCTCCTTCCGTTCTCTCTTCTCTCCTTTCCTCCTTGTCCTGCTCCTCCTCCTCCTCCTCCTCCGGCGGGGGGCGTGAGGATCCGGCATCGCTCACAACCATCGGGACAACCATCGGGACAACCATCGGAACAACCATCGGGACAACCATCGGGACAATCATCGGGACAGTCATCGGGACAACGATCGGGACAAGCACAACCATCAGGACAACCATCGGGACAATCATCGGGACAACGATCGGGACAACCACAACCATCAGGACAACCATCGGGACAACCATCGAGACAACCATCGGGACAACCATATCCTCTCTCTCTTGTGTATTCCCACATCCCTCAGGAATTTGCCCTAAAGATGTGATCAACTATCTTGTGAGTACGTATCATGTGTATCATGTGTATCATGTACCATATGCATCATATGCAACAGATGTTCTGTGGAAGGCTTAACAACTTCTGTGGGTTAACAAGGCTTAACAACTTCTGTGGGTGTACGAACGTAGGCTTAACAACTTCTGTGGGTGTGTACTCCACGCCAGTGTAGTAGCCACGGTCGTCCGCAGGCCACGAAGTGAAGTGTCCGAACGTCATAGGGCGGGAAGCTGGGTGTGGGTGGTGGCGAAGAGTCGTGTGGATATTTGGTAGAGCTTGCACTGCCCCCCCACAAAGTGGGGGTATTGGCTGGCGTCGCATGAAAACCCTGGCACTGGTGAGAACACTGAGCGTTCGGGTAAAGTGATTGTTGTTGTTGTTGTTGTTGTTGTTGTTGTTGTTGTTGTTGTTGTTGAACATTATTTATTCTAAAGAATAATTATTGTTGGGCCCCCTGGTGCGCGCCCCCCCTGCGCCGCCTAGGCCGCAGCTACATTTTCATCATTTTCGTGAGGAAGCCTCAGAAAAGAGGGTGTGTACAGGATCCGGTTGTTTTGTTGTAATCCGCTTTCCCTTGCAAAAAACAATAGAAAATGACATTTCTTGTTCTAATATAATCAAATTTCAAGAATCCCTTGCAAAAAATAAGGTAAAGTGGACATTCGCGCGCGCAAGACGAAATCCTTCCAAAACCTTAGTGTTCGCAGCGATTTTAACATAAAAACATCAAAAAACCAATGGTTTTTCAACAAAAAATTGTCAAAATCTCATCCCGCGCGCTCTTGCGGATTCGTAGGAAACCCAACACTTTTTAAACATTTCTGTCAAACGGGCTTTTGCGAGCAACTTTTTCGAACTTCTGCGACAACGGTTGCGCACCTGCCAGGGCCATCATCCCTGTCAAATAATACCATGCGGGACACATTCGTTTTTTCTTCGCGCGCGCACGCCGTCGTCGTCGGCCGCGGGGCCCTGAATAGTAGCCACGGTCGTCCGCATGCCACGAAGTGAAGTGTCCGAACGTCATAGGGCGGGAAGCTGGGTGTGGGTGGTGGCGAAGAGTCGTTTGGAAATTTGGTAGAGCTTGAACCGGCCCCCCCACAAAGTGGGGGCATTGCCCGCCTCCTATGAAAACCCTGGCACTGGTGAGAACGGAGTGTCCCCACGTGCTAGTAATTGTTGTTGTTGTTGTTGTTGCTTGTTGCTTGTTGCTTGTTGCTTGTCGCTTGTTGTTTGTTGCTTGTTGTTTGTTGTTTGTTGTTTGTTGTTTGTCGTCGTCGTCTTACCCGCGCCCCACACCCACCCGCGACCCACCCCGCGACCCACCCCGCGACCCACCCCGCGACCCAACCCGAGACCCACCCGCGACCCAACCCGCGACCCACCAGCGACCCACCCGCGACCCACCCGCGACCCACCCCGCGACCCACCCGCGATCCACCCCGCGACCCACCCTCAAGGGAGGAGAAACCACCTGGACCCGACAATTGACGTTTATTAAACGGCCTTGGGCGTTTACTAAAAAGCCCTGCCATGTTCGATTCATTCCTTGTGTGCGTTTACTAAACGGCTTCGCTTGTCAGGGTGATTATAATGGGGTGGATTTTCTGCCTTCTACACCCGCGACCCATTTGCGACCCACCCGCGACCTACCCACAGTCTCGCAAACTGCCGACGTCCCAACCGCCCCCTCACTCTTATCCGCATCTGCGGGGTGATACGTATGATTAATCACTTCGCTCATTCCGCCGGCCCTGGAGCCCTCTTTGGGGCCTCTTGGGGGCCTCTTGGGGACCTCTTGGGAGTCTCTTGGGGCTCCTTGGCGGCGTCTTGGGGGCCCCCAGGGCCTCTTGGGGGGCTCTTGTGGGCCTCTTGGGGCGGGAGGGGGGATAGTCGATTGCGGCTCCCCCCTCGGAGGCCACGATCCTCGTGAGGGGTGTCCGGTCCAGGGTCTCCTCCCAGGCTTCTCCCGGGGTACTTTTCGCCCGGGGACCCCCAGGGGCCGGCCCGCGCGCGAACTAGAAATATTGTTAACTAGTTACCAGAGATCCCGTTGGGCCGGCGAATTTGATGGCCATTACTGTTGGCATGGCGGCCCGGATTGAAGCGACACAGGCGCGCCATGACAAACAGTTTGAAAAGGCGAGCCTGGACAAATTGTTACACAGTTGGCCCCAGGATCAACCGTTTCAACGTTGCGCCTCCTTGGCGCGTGGGTTTCGCGCACTCATCGCTGCGCCCAGCGAGTGATGCACGGGAGAAGGAGGAGGGGGGCAAGGATGGGAGTGCGCATAATGAGTTACGAATTTGCGCCAAGCAGTTAGGTCGCTGGCGCAGTCCATCAAGTCCTCGTGGCAATCACATGGTTGAAGGGCGCCCTTGAAATACGACCCTGGCGAAGGACCCAGCCATATGTAGCTGCGAGCATCGCGAGGAAGGTGGAAAGGAGGAGGGGTCTGGCAAGAGGATTGGGGCGTGGGTGGGGAGACCTGCGGGCATGGGCGTGCGGAGGGTCTTCGGAGTTTGGCGACGGCCTCGCCGAGGAGTTGGGTCTCACCAGATTTATCCGCGAGGCTTGACCTGAGGAACGGCCCGCCCGAGTCTCGCCTTCTCTCGACTGCCCATTCGTATTGCCTCGTGTTGGGGCGACCAGCTTTGTCAGCCACCTACTTGTTCCGACCTCGCGCTGCGAACGACCCGCGGGCGTCGCTCGAACTCCTTCGGGGCGACTGGCGCGCGTCGCGGGGTTTTCGCGGTGTGTGCCGAATCGGGCGCAGGCTCGCCGTGCAGACCTTGCCGTTGGGGCCTTCGGTGGAGCTCCCTGTGGGGCCACGAAGCGCGGGAGGGGCGTGCCGGATCGGGCCCAGGTGCGCCATGCAGAAACTGCCGCTGGTGCTTTCGGCGAGGCCTTCTGTGGGACCGCGAAAAGTGTGGAGGGTGTGACGAATCGGGCGTGGGCGTGTCATGCGGACCTTGCCGTTGGGACCGTCGGTGGAGCTCCTCGCGGGGACACGAAGCGTGTGAGAGGCGTGCCAAATCGGGCGCGGGCGCGCCACGCGGACCTTCCCGCTTGGTTCCTGGGTGGAATTCCTTGCGGGGTCACGAAACGTGCGAGGGGTGTGCGGAACCGAGCGCGGGCACGTCATGCGGACCTTGCCGCTGAGGTTTCCGGTGGAGCTCCTTGTGGGGCCACGAAGCGTGGGATGGCGCCGAACCGGGCGCTGGCACGCTATGCGGGTCCTGCTGCTAGGGTTTTCGCTGGGTTCCCTTTGGGGCCACGAAACGTTTGACTGGTGCACCAAATCGGGCGCGGGCACGCCATGCGGACCCTGCTGCTGGGGCTTTCGGCGGGCCCTCCTATGGGAACACAAGCCGGGTGCGCCGATCCAGGTGCGGGCGCGGCGTGCGGACCTTGCTGCCGGGGCCGTCGGTGGAGTTCGTTGTGCCTTGTGGAAGCGTGCGATGGGTGTGCCGAATCGGGCGCGGGCATGCCATGCGGACCTTGAAGCTGGGGTTGGGGGCCTTCGGTGGAGCCCCCTTATGGGAACACAGACCGCGTGAAAGGTGTGTCGTATGAGTTGCGGGTACGCCGTGCGGACCTTGCTGGTGGGGTTTCCAGTGGAACGCCCTTTGGGGCCACGAAGCGTGTGATGGGGGGCGCCGAATCAGGTGACGGTGCGCCATGCGGAGTTTGCCGCTGGGGCTTCGGCGGGCCTCCCTGTGGGGCCACGAAACGTGTGAGGGATCTGCCGAATCGGGCGCGGGCACGCCATGCGGGCTCAGTCGCTGGGACTTTCGGAGGGGTTCGGGCCACAATCCGTGTGAAGGGTGTGCTGACTCGGGCGCGGGCTCGCTGGACCCTGCCGCCGGAGCCTTCGGTGGAGCTCCCTGCGGGGCCACGAAGCGCGAAAACGTTTGAGGGGAGCGCTGGGATGGTGCCGAAATTGTTGTGCAGGGGGCCGAGGCAAGGATGGTTGGAGGGAGGAGGAGAAGAAGGAGGAGGAGGAAAAGGAAAAGGCGGAGGAGCAACGGGAGGAGGAAAGGGGAGGGAGGAAGGAGTGAGTGAGTGACGCGGGGTGGTATCTGTCCAAAGCGTGGACCCAACGCTACAGGATGGTTGGAAAAAGTGTTCCCCCATTCGCCGGCCGTCCCACTGGACTTGTAACATTCGCTGTTGCACTACTGCTCCACGGTTGCGGGCTGCGGTTCCAGACGCCCCCCCCGTAGAAGTTCCGGTCTTTTGCTCCTCCTCACCGAGTCACCAGTCCGCCCTCGCTCCCGATGCTGAGTTGCAAGATCCCTTCCTGGCCGCCAGAGGCTGTCTGAGCTGACCCCAGCGAGCGCGGACGAGGATGAAATCAGGGACACCGAGGCGCTCGGGGGGGAGGGGTTGGGGTGAGAAGAAGGGGAGGTGCGGGGGAACGAGGAGACGGGAGAGAGGAGCGAGTGGAAATGAGAGAGGAAAGAGGAAGCACGCAGAGGAAAAGGACGAGGGAGAACAGCAGGAGACAGTGCAGGATGTGGAGTAGAAGGAGGAGCGGGAGCGGCAGGAGTAGAGTAAGGACCAGGAGCAGGAGTTGGACAGAGCAGGCGGAACCAGACGAGGAGGTGGAGGAAGTGGAAGAGGACCCGGAGGTGGTGTGGAAGAGTTAGAAAGCGGACAATGCAAAATATTCATTGGTCGAAAAGTCGAGCGTTTGCAGACATTCGTGACCCTACCACTATGGTTGGAGGGGACGGCTTGGGAGGGATGAATCTTCGAGAGGCCGGGGGGGAGCTCTACGCAAGGATCTTAGATGCCCCCTGCCAGGCAGCGCGAACCCCACGCCCTCGCGCAAATGCCCGCTGGGGATGTGTAAGCAACCGCGTAGGGTCAGGCAGACGAGATCCGAGGCTCCACTGTAATGACAGACAGTGCCGGCTGGCCGGCTGCACCCGCTGCCTTTCCGTAGCTATTTGTGCTCAGTCGTGGCTCGAACGCGAGCCTCAAGGCCTCGAGCCTCTAGCGAGCACGGCGGCTTTCTGAGAGCACCGTCCTGAGAGCACAACCCTGCGCGAATGCTTGCGTAACGCCGCGTAAGAATCGCGTAAGGTCAGGCCACACGGCCGTTCCTGAGGAGTCGTAGCCCTATCACTAACTACGGGCACAGCCGTCTTGAGAACAGCACCCTGCGTAAATGCCCGCGCAGTGCCGCGTAAAAAACGCGTAAGGTCAAGCCAGGCGGCCCCTCTCCGCAAGATTCTAACGTTAAGAGTCAGCGACGTGTTGCAACAACGTATCACATTCGCTCGCGTCACTTTTGCCTGAGGCGTTTTATGAGCAGAGCAATGATGCAGTGCTCGTCACGTCCTTGTTGTCCGCGGATGGGGGAGGGTTCGGACAGGAGAGATTCTGGCTGGTCGGATTGGTGGTCAAAGCGGGGAATGCGGCAGCGCAGTAGTTTTGCCGTGCGCTGGACGCCCTGTCCTGACAACTGCTTGTGGTCGGCCCTGAGCCGCTTCATGATGCGATGATGATCCTCCTGTGGGCCTCCTTGACCATTGCCGCCAACATGCCGATTCTTGATTGTTTGGATCTGCTTCGAGCCGATGCTGGGCAGAAGCCTTGGGCTCAAACTGGCAAGCAGACTGAGCAGAGGCGGAAGGCGGCGGGCTGCCAGTCCGAGCAGCCGATTTTCTGAAGCGGCTCGGCCAATGGACGCACGGATGGCGTCGAGGATAAGGCGGGCAGGGCAGAGGCGGACGCTCGGAGAGGACTGACAAGGGACGTGGGAGAGCAGAACGTACAGAGGAACGGGAGGAGAGAACAGGAGGAACGGGGTATCCCGCCATGTTTCTTCAGATAGGTTTGCACGAAGGGTCCGTTGATTGGATGTGTATACCCTCCCTCCTCACCCCATGGCCCTCCTTGGCAGTATGAGCTTGACGAGGAGGAGCAGGATTTTCATGGTGGGGGATCGCTACCCACGCCCCACGAGGCCAAGCTCGCCGCAGGAGCCGAGAGCGAGGACGGCGTTGGCCTTAGCAGCAGAGGCTCTCGGCTGGGGGACGGGAGGATCCCCTCCTTCCCATGTGTCCTCTTCTCCTTTACGAGTGGCGGCGCAAGAGGGAGGATGAAACGGGGGGGGGGCTGAAGGGTAGGGAGGGGAGGAGAGAGGGAGGGCAGAGCAGGATGAAGAGACGTGAGGGGGAAGAGTGATGATGATGATGTTGATGATGATGCTGATGATGATGTTGTTGCTGATGATGATTATGATGATGTTGATGATGAGTATGATGACTATGATGATGATGATGATGATGATGATGATGATGATGATGATGATGATGATGATGATGATGATGATGTTGATGATGATGCTGATGATGCTGATGATGGTGATGGTGATGGTGATGGTGATGGTGATGATGATGATGATGATGGTGGTGGTGGTGATGATGATGATGCTGGTGATGTTGATGGTGACGATGCTGAGGATGATGATGCTGATGATGATGATGATGATGCTGATGATGATGATGCTGATGATGATGATGATGATGATGATGATGAGGGTTGAGGAGGGGGGATGGGAGGGGAGACGCAATGGAATGGCTTTTAGAATGCGCGGGTGGTCCTGAGGGTTTCCAGGAGGGGCCTTGTCCTTCTCTCATCAGAATTCTTCATGCCGTACGTATCCCCACCAGCGTTGCTTCGCTTCTTGACGGCGCGCAGTTGCTCTGTGTCGCTCGCGAACAAACAAGTATCCTCACCAGCCCGTTCAGAAGCCCTACCCACGAGAGTTGACGGGAACAGGGACGACGGGACACATTTAGGGACTCAACGCGAGCAACCAGGATGAACCGAGAGATATTTGGGAGCAGTGGGGTGGCTTTGGACGGCCTCTTCGGACCATCCCTGGGGGCCGCGCGGGGGCGAGGGGAAGAGAAGGAAGAGGAGGAGGAGGTGGAGGGATCCAAAGAGAGTGATCCCTGGTGTTGCTGCTGCTGCTGCTGCTGCTGATGGCGCTGCTGATGTTGTTGCTGCCTCTGCTGGTGCTGCGGCTGGTGCCCTGGAAGGCCTGTTGGGGCCAACTAGGAGAGCATCGTTCAAACGATGGGAGGTCCTCGATTTCGGCCCCCACCCCAGGAGCCCTCAAAATCGCATCTTGGAGCTCCCCGTGGGCTCTTTGGGAGGGTAGTTGAGCTCTCGTGGGGCTCTTTTCAGGGTCTTGGGGCCCCCTTGGGGCTCTCTTGGGGCCCTCTTGGGAGCTTTGGGCGGCCTGTTGGGGCCATCTTGAAGGCCATCGATCAAAGGAGGAAATGATATAACGTTCAGCCCCCCCCCCCCCCCCAAAGAGGCCAACATGGGGCCAAAACTTTAGTACAACCAATGATTTGGGCGCCCAGGGGGCGGGCGAGACAACGTTCAGCCCCCCCCCCCCCTCGGAGAGGCTAACATGGGGCCAAAACCTTAATACAACCAATGATTTTGGCGCCCAGAGGGCTGGTGGGATAAAGGCCAGCCCCCCCCTCAAAAAAAGAGGGGCCCAAATGGGGCCAACACCTTCGGTAAAACCACTGATGTTGGTTTCCTCGACGAGGCCGTTTTGGACGCCCTGCCCTGACCTCGCGAACCCCCCACAAAAGTCCAGGGGGGGATGGGTAATGGGAGGGGTAAACTTCTCCCCGTGGGGGACGCGTTTTTTTTTTTATATATATATATAATATATATATATATATATATATATATATTATATATATATACAAAAAAAAAGGAAACGGAACCGCGTTACACCACCTGCGCCCAGAGGGCTGGTGGGATTCCTTTCGCTGTCTCTTGCCGTTCCCCCCCCTCCTCGCCAGATTTCCCCCCCTTCTCCCAGGCTCCTTGGTGTCCCTCCTCCACCTTTTTTTTCCCTAACGGGAGCCTCGGGGTGGCGGGCCTTGTCTCTCCTTTCCGCCCCTCTTGTTTATGTGGCACGCTGTGCTCCCCCAGAACGTCCACATGCGTCCGAAATGTTCCATGCACCGCGCCACCCCTCAACATCCTTTCTTTCATCCTCCCCTCGTTGACTCCAGAGGTCTGTCTGCTGCAACTGTTCCGTCGTCCTTCTTCGCCGATCTTCAGCATCACCACCGCCAGTGTCATGAACTCCCACAACATCCCCTTCGCCATCTGCATCATCAACTGTTGTCATCCCCTATGGTTGTCATGCCCGTTTCAGCCTCACCTCCTCCTGAGCTTCGCTAGCAGGTTTCTTGCGTTACTTGGCGCGCTGGCCGCGGGCGCGCGCGAGCCCCCGCAAAATGCTATATATACACATATGTATCCCACTCTCTTCTCTCAGCACGGGTCCCCCTATTTGTATTTCGTGTGTCTCTGTATTATATACAGGTATTCCCGTACATTCCGCACTGGCAACGGAGCCAGCGGTTTCGATCCGCAGCGAGAGCCAGGCACATTCCTCGTCACCCGAATTTCGGGTGACATATACACCTAGTATCCTGTTCTCCCCGCTGCCCACCGTCTCTTGCAGGGCGCCGCCATGGACCGTCAAGCCGACCCCTCATTCACCAGAAGACGCACTTCCGGAGGACCTGTGGCTTCAAGCAGGCCAAGATCCGTGGGCAGGAGGCGGAGGACAAGGAGACGTTTCTTGGGATGGCGACGCCGAGGTGGGCTGGTCAGACGATGGCTGGGCCTGTTGGTTCGATCGACATGGGACGGATGAACAGCCCAATGTGCCATCAGCCTCATCAGGTTGGAACCCGCGACTGGACACACCTTTGCGGGGTGCAGCAACACCGTTCACTCCCATCTGCCACTGCCAGACCCTCCGATCGATAGAGGGGGCCATCCCCTGTTGAACAACCGAAGGCTCCAAATATACCAAACGACGCACCTCCCACTTGGGACGGAAAGTGATCTTGGCACTCGTATAGATCCCAATATGAAGGAACTGCATATGTGGGTCACGGATACCTCACCTACCGCTGCGTCAAAGACGACCTCGAAATCATGATGAACGGGCTCACCCAGGAGCAGTTGACCGCCGAGGACACCGGGCAGGTAGTGGTCAAACACATCAAGATGTTGTTCGCCGGGTGCCAGGACCGCAAGATGCCGAAGGCATTCGTGAATATGGTTTTGCTCCGATGGTACGAAGCGCAAGCGAGATGAGTCGATTATCAAGTATATCACTCGCAAGCGCGTGCTCTTCCGGGAATTCGAAAAGCATGTCATTTTGCCATCCGAATTGAAGGGGTACATACATATACATATATATATATATATGTGCGTGTGTGTGTGTGCTTTTCACAACACAAGGTCCGTGTTCAAAGCCACCGCCTGGGGCACGGTTGAGAACTGGACGGACGGACCCTAGAATGTCGACGTGGTCAGTGACGAGCTCCGTAAGCTGGACCGCCCACCGCCCTTAGAAAAAGGTGGCAATCGCATTCATGGAACGAGCGCTTCTGCAAATTGTAAGGGCTACCGAGGAGACGAGGGAGGCACGAAGAACAGGAGTCTGATCGCGAGGGTGTCCATTGGATCTTTATGCAACAGTCTGCGTTGACTCTGCCAGGGGCGCACGAAAACGACGACCTCTTGAACAATACTCCTCAGGTTTTCGGACGACGAAGAGGCGCTCTTCGTGGCCGGAAACATGCCGGGGGATGTTTTTTTTTTTTTTTTTTTTTTGAGAAGACGGAACCATTGCCATCTACGCCAATTACAGCCAAGCCCGACAATGCTCACGCAAGCGGAAGCTCGGGCGAGGCGCCCCCAGGCAGTCTCCACCGAGGCAATGCCAAAGCTTCCCGCGAGGGAACACGCCGGGGGAAACGGAGTGGACATGCCCGACCGAAGCGATGGACAAAGAGCAAGTTCATGAGTCACTCGAAGTGCGCCCGACACGGGAAGCTCGGACAGCGGGCTGGAGACTGCGCGCGAGCCAGACGAGCGAGGGCGAATACGTCGAGCAGGCGCGCCGGTTTTCAAGTTATTTCCGTCGAAGCAGGCGCTGTTCGACGGGTCGCCTGTGGAAGGGGGACATGCGATTCAGCCAGAGGTCGGTTCTTTCATTGTCTTAATTTTCGCTGCCGCAGTAAACGTCGGGGAGACCTTCATCGGACTCCAGATGCAGATAGGCTTCGTCGCGGTGGATGCTGGAGCTCAGCGGCGAGTCCGCGGCAGGGATCAATTTTGGAAGTTGGCGGGATACTTCGGAGATACTCACGGCCTGGAGCCCCCCCCCAGATACCCACTCTTGGAATGGGCGCCACGGGCGTCGGCGGGTCAGCAAAGTTCACCCCCGGTTGGATTTTGCTTGTCGGCGCTGCGAGGGGCTGAGGTGCCCCCGCAGCCCGCGCGAGTGCGATGTATGCGCCACTTCTGTTCGCAGTAGAGATGCTCGGGCATTTAGGCGCGGTTCTTGATTTGCGGGGGGAGGGGGGGGGGGGGGGGGCATAATCATTTGGAAGACGCTCGACAGCAGGCGATCGAGGGCGCGCGGGGCAGGCCCAGGCGCGCGCATAGCGACCGACATCTTCGTCTCCCCGACGATGGTTGGGCAGAGAAAATACAATTCAAGACGAGCTCTCCGAAGACCCTGGGGCGCCCCCAAGTCCCGGGGCTTAAGGATGCCACGTTCTACCTGAATCCTCAGGCACCCTCGGCCTTTCTCAGCCAATTACCGCCTTTCCCGGCACCCTTTTTGCGACGCTTGGCCGCGCGGGCCCTCGCCGAGGAGGGGCCGCAGTCGGAGCTTCGTTCGACCGCCGCGAGGCCCGGTCAGCCGCTGATGGCACTGGAGAACCGGACATGGAAATGGCGCCGCCTTTGCTTCAAGTTTCTAGCCATCTTGGACCGCGCGGCCATGGGGCGCCGCGCGGAGGCGCGAACGTCTATGAGAACCTGCCCGGAAGATGCCAAGAGCTTAGACAGCGAGGCTGCCCCGCCCGCGCCTCCGCCTCGAGACTGCTGCGGGGCACGCGCCAAGAAGACGGGCCAGGCCCTTCGTTCTCATCCGGGGAACGCCGAGCGCATC